TTAAATGGAGCAAATTAACAATCCGGGAGTAAATTAGTTATGCATGCTCTTATTGCCAAGAAGAAACTTGACTTCATTGATGGCACAATTGAAGAACCGTCCCAAAATGAAAATTCAACCGAATTTGAACTTTGAAATCAGTGCAACAGTATGATAATATCTTGGTTAACTCATTCCGTTGAACCAGATATCGCTAAAGGCATTATTCATGCCAAGACAGCTCATCAAGTGTGGGTTGATTTTCACTATCAATTCTCACAAAAGAATGCTCCAGCAATTTTTCAGATACAAAACTCGATAGCAACGATGTCACAAGGAACCATGGCACTGTCAACATATTTCACCAAGCTCAAAGCACTCTGGGATGAACTGGAAGCGTACCGCACACCATTTACCTGTAATCAACGTCAAATACATATTGATCAACGCGAAGAAGACAAGTTGATGCAATTGCTCATAGGGCTCAATGAGTCTTATAAAACGGTGAGATCTAACATATTGATGATGTCTCCATTACCTAATGTGAGGCAAACCTATTCATTACTTGTACAAGAAGAGATGCAGCGTCAAAGCGTCAGGTAGCTTCTAAACCTACTGAGAATAGCTCAATTGCGATTGCATCAGCAGTGCAGAAGAAAACAACATATTCAAAATTCGCCAAGGACAAATCGTGTGAACACTGCAATAAAAGTGGTCATACAATCAATGAGTTTCAAATCCTTAAGTTTCACGGTAAGTTTTGTGATAGAAGGGGACATACAGAAAATCGGTGTTGACAGAAAAATAATTCTAGAAGGTCAAGACAAGTCAATCAACACAATAATCGTGGATATCGATCATCTGCAAATATGGCCGATGTTTCTAAGTTGAATACTGAAGAACAGTCACCGAATTCCATTCCAAAATTTTCTTATGAGCAATTACAACAGATAGCACAAGTCTTATCTGCAATCAATCATTGCCCGATAATTCTGACAATCACATCAATGTTGCAGGTTTGTTTCCCATATCTACATTATCTATTAATTCTGCGAGTTCTAATTCATGGATTCTCGATAGTGGAGCTACGGATCATATAGTATCAAAATCTTATGTTATGACTGAACCAAAGGCTGCCATCATGTCTACAATAAATTTACCTAATGGAGAGACAACACGTGTGTCACATTCTGGCAATATTTCCCTTAGCCCTAACCTTAAATTAAACAACGTTGTTTTATGCGTGCCTTCATTCAACTTAAACCTAATGTCCATCAGCAAACTTACCAATGACTTGAAATGTTATGTCACATTCTATCATGATTCTTGTGTTATGCAGGACTTGGCTACGAGGAAGATGATTGGCTCGGGTAAACAATTTGGAGGTCTCTATCATATTTCTTCATCTCCAATCAAATCTTCAGCTCATCAAGTATCTCAGTCATCTGATTTGTGGCATTTATGCCTAGGTCATCCTTCTTTTTCTCGTTTTAAATTTCTAGCTGATCAATTGCATCTTAATAATGAGAGTTATTCTCATAATTGTAGTATCTGTCTGTTAGCAAAACAAACTAGGTTGTCTTTCCCAAGAAGTTCAATAACAACTCATTCAGCCTTTGATCTGATACATTGTGATGTTTTGGGGACCACATAAAATTCCTACCCATTCTGGTTTGCGTTTTTATCTCACTATTGTTGATGATTTTACTCGATGTACTTGGGTTTTTCTAATGCAACATAAGTCTGAAGTACATCATTTGTTAATGAACTTTGTTAAATTCGTTCAAACTCAATTTCATACTACTATCAAGATAGTTCGATCAGACAATGGGACTGAGTTCTTATCTTTGCAACCATTCTTTACTTCTTGTGGCATTGAATTTCAGCACACTTGAGTCTATACTCCACAACAAAATGGAAGCATCGTCATATCCTAAATGTAGCTAGGTCTTTAGGTTCCACTTAATTTTTGGGGAGAGTGCATTTTAACGGTTGTTTATCTTCTAAATAGAACGTCATCATCATTGTTATCTAACAAGACACCCTTTGAAGCACTCTACAATCGACCACCTACATTTCATCATTTAAAGTTTTTGGTTGTAAATGTTATGTAACTATAGTACATCCTAAGCAAAAATTTGAACCTCGGGAAATTCCTTGTGTTTTCGTAGGATATCCTTGTGGTCATAAAGGTTACAAGTTATATGACATGTAATCTCACAAATTCTTTATCAGCCGTGATGTTAAATTTTGTGAAGATGACTTTCCTTTTTCATCAGCTTCACAAACTTTGACATTAGCTCATTCGACTCCTGTTGTACCACTTCATGATCCATCCTACTCAAACATCCATCCTCCGCCTTCTATTCCTTCACCTCCTATTCCTCCTTCACCTACTACTTCGTCATCTCCTCCACCTTCTCCAGATTCGCCCGCTAATTCTAATCCTATCCCACCTAATACATCAGCTCCACTCCGACGTTCTACTCGTACTAAACAGCCTTCAGCTTGACATAAAGATTATGAGATATCTTTTGGAGCCAATCATTTAACCTCTAGCTCAAGTCCCAGCACTGGCACCAGGTATCCCCTTCCATCGTTACCTTTCATTCTCTCGTTTTTCTCCTACTCAACGTGCTTTTCTAGCTCTTATCACATCCCAGACAGAACCTAAAACCTATGACGAGGCAGTTGGCGACCTATGGCAGTAGGCTATGAATGATGAAATTGCAGCTTTGGAACGTAATCATACATGGTCTCTCGTTCCTCTACCACCTGGTCATAAAGCTATTGGTTGTCGTTGGGTATACAAAATTAAATACAACTCTGATGGTTCTGTTGACCGTTATAAAGCTCGACTTGTAGTAAAGGGATACACTCAGGTTGAGGGTATTGATTACACATAAACATTTTTTCCTACAACGAAACTTACTACACTTCGTTGCCTACTCACTGTTGTTGCTGCTCGAAAATGGTTCACTCATCAATTAGATGTTCAAAATGCCTTTTTCCATGGTAATCTAGACGAGGAAGTCTATATGTCTTTACCACTAGGTCTTCGCCGACAGGGGGAGAGTATGTCGGCTCCATAAATCTCTTTATGGATTAAAACAGGCTTCTCACAATTGGTTCTCCATATTTTCTACAACTATACAAAATGCAGGCTACACTCAATCCAAAGCAAATTACTCTTTATTTACTAAGAGTAAAGATACTTCTTTCGCTGCAGTTCTAATCTATGTTGATGATATTTTGTTGACAGATTCAAAGAAATTCAATATCTCAATACTAGTTTACTCCAAAAATTTCTTATCAAAGATTTAGGAAATTTGAAATATTTTCTAGGCATTGAATTTTCTGGGTCTAGAAAAGGAAATTTTATGTCTCAAACGAAGTATGCTCTAAACATCTTTCAAGACAGGTCTTACAGGAGCACTTCCAGACAAATTTCCTATGAAGCAAAATCTGAAACTTTCTTTAACTAAAGTAGAGAAGTTGAATGATCCAAGTAAATACATACTGTTGATTGGCAGATTAATATATTTGACCGTCACTAGGCCTGACATAGCTTATTCACTTGTATGCTTAGCCAATTTATGCATGAACCAAGAAAACCACATTGGGAGGCAGCTCTTCGAGTTCTGAGATACATCAAAGGCACTTCTGGTCAAGGACTCCTGCTACCATTTGAAAACAATTTAAGATTAGAAGCATATTGCGATTATTTATTGGATGCTCCACAGCGTTACTGTAGCATGCAGGCAACCCATATCCAGATCCACTCGGAAACTTATAATTTCTTGGATGCCTCACAACTTTACCGTAGATTCACGCAGCGAGGAATTGTCAGTATTATCCTAATATGTAATTCTCTCTCTTTTTTTTTTTCTTAACAGTTAATTAAATTATATAATAATTTATCTTCTGAGCTTCACATTGTTTTTAAATGCTCTTTCAACACACGTGTCGCCTGATATTTTTATTTTCATTATTATAAAATTTAACTACAAATTTAAAATATCTCTATATATTAGTGGGTTATAGAATTAAATTAACTTATCATATTTAATGCGCATGAATATAAAATAAAAAAAACAAATAAATAAGTTAACTCCAAATAGCATCCGTCCCTATAAACATTAGGATGGGACAGGGAACATAATGTCCCACTCCCTCACATTCACGATAATTATAAATTGAGCTTATGATTTTTTTTTTTTTAATTCTCTTATATATTTTATACCAACAAGATCTTAAAAGCTACAAATATAGTTTTTGAATTTTTTTTCTTTAATTATATTTAAGAATTTAAATGTTTTTTAGTAAGAGATTTAGAAAACTTAAAAGGAAATAAATGATTCATTTTTAGTGTTCACGGAGTATAATTTTCATGACTTATTTTGATTCTTTGAAAAAATTATAGTCTCTTACTTGTACCTATCAATTATATTCTCGTTGATTAGCGTTCAGATTTTTCCTAACAAGTGGAACCGACAAGCAAAATTGAGCATATAATTCATTTGTGTAGCTGTAAGATCTAATACTATAGCTCATCCTAAGAGTAGACTGGCCATACACTGTTTACGACTATCCATCTTAATTGAAGATCTCATTAAAGTTCGTTGATGGAGAAAGGTACGCAACGGGGATACGATTTTCATCTTAATTGTGGATATCTATCGAAAGTTCGTAGAAGGAGAGAAGTACAGAATGGGTGTGGAACTGCGTGAATAATTGCAGTCATCCGTCGAGAGCTGAGTGTCGGTGCTCTAGTAGGTAGCGATTAATGAATCCAATAAAGTGGACCATCCAAGCAGAGGCAGCAACGGGTCATATCTGTCATGGAAAACAAGCCTCCGTCCTTTTCTGGTTAAAACTTGAACACAGAGGCTAAAGTGATTTTCGCCGCGTGATACTCTCGTTACTTTTAATCGCCATACCCACCTTTTATCTGCTTGGGCCCTCTCTGAAAGCGACACCCTTTCTCTTCCATCGATTCATTTGCGAGCTGTACAGATGTCCATGTGTGTGAATCAGATGCCTTTTACTCTCTTATAACTCACACCCTCTGCAATAAACCTCTCATCTCCTTCATTACAATCCATTTCTGCTTCTGGGTTTTGGGGTTTCGCATTCTATAGGCATAACCCATCTCCGAGATCCTTGCGTTTTCGAGGTTTGTTCTTTGTTATGGGACTCAGTTATCAGTCGAGCAGAGCTGGAGCTCTGGTTGGTGGTTTCATGCTGCTTTTCTCCGTGTTTCTACCGGGTTTGTTTAGCCATTTGGGTCATGCTTCGCCTTCCACGTTCTCGGTATTTCTTTCCCACTTTTGGTCTTCCTCCTTGAAGCTTTTGAACTTTTGATCTTCTTTGTATTGTTCTGTGAAATTATTTAGGAAATGTGGATGTTTTGATTTGTTGAAGGGTTGCCGTAAAGAGAAACCTTTATCGTAGTGGAGAAATGGAAATTTTTTCCCTCTTATAGTTAATGCTTTCGTTTACTCCTTTTTCCCGTCCAATTTTTTTGGAAATGTGAAGACATAATAACGTTCCCCTCTTCATTTATAGTATGTCGGTATGATATTTGATTTAGCTTGCTGGTGACAGAAAAGAAAACTTATAATGTTTGGTTCATAATTAGTTTAGCCTTAGGGGAATGGTACTCCGCAGGGCCATTTTAAGTTAACCAACTCTGGTTAAATCTAAACTGATCGGCAGGCCTTTGAACGTATAGGAATGGTTATTTCTTCATCTCTATCTGTTCAACTTTTTTTTAAATCATAACGTTTTTTCCCCAGTGGAAATATTATTTGTTGTAGTTTGACTTGTGGGTGTATTATGCGCCTCTATTAGGCCTTTCAGGAGTTCTTAAGATAATAATTGATGATTTAATTGGACTCTTGTAGGAATGGAACACTCCAAAGCCCAGGCATTCGCGTCTGCTGAAGAGTGCTTTACAACGCCAAAGTGTGGGTTTGTTGATTGATCATATAATTCGAAGTTGTTTTTTTGAATCTCCAACTACATTATCTTATGAATGAGAATCTAATAGAGTTAAATCCTATTTCTATGACAGCCAATACCAGATCAGTCTGATTTATGGGCTCCTTTAACTGATGAAGGGTGGAGGCCTTGTGTTGATTCTTCAAAAGATTCCTGTAAGTTTTGAACCATGGAGTTGTAGGTTTCAGAAACTCCCCGTGATGATTTGTACTTAAACATATCACTTACTGAATTTCTGATGTTTTTTATACCTGGTTTGTGCCATTGATCCATGTCTTGCAGCACTACCAGGGGAGTCTGAAGGATATATTCAAGTGTTTCTTGATGGAGGCCTGAACCAGCAAAGAATGGGAGTATGTGTTGGTTTAAACTTTTGTCGGCACATTTTTGTTGATAAGGCAGTCTTCAATTTTAAAATATTTGGTCCACATGCAGATATGTGATGCAGTTGCTGTAGCAAAATTTCTAAATGCAACCCTTGTGATTCCCCACCTTGAAATTAATCCGGTCTGGAAAGACTCAAGGTACTAACAAAATTTTCTCTGCGGGGTATTGTTCTATTCTAGTATATTTGAAAAGTGATCACGAGATTTTTTACCTTATCCTTTACTTTTTTGGAATCTGCAGTTCTTTCGTCGATATATTTGATGTGGATCACTTTATTAATGTGTTGAAAGATGACATTTCTATAGTTAAAGAGCTGCCAGCTGAATTTTCTTGGAGTACTAGGGAATATTATGCTACAGCCATTCGGGCTACGAGAGTCAAAACAGCGCCTGTTCATGCCTCGGCCAAATGGTATCTGGACAATGTCTTGCCTGTATTGCAGAGGTTGGTATTGAAGCCTATCCATCTTGACCTTTTAGGACTGAAAGTGTACTGGCTTTGGTTTCATATCTGCATATTCAGTTTCTCACTTCATTTGTATAAATATAAAAGATGAAGCATTTACCCACAACTGAGAAATGAAATTAGGAACATTCAATGTGAGATCTCACATCGGTTGGAGAGGGGAACGAAGCATTCCTTATAAGACTGTGGAAACCTCTTCCCAATAGACGCGTTTTAAAACCGTGAGGGGAAGCCTAAAAGGGAAAGCCCAAAGAGGATAATATCTACTAGTGGTGGGCTTGAGTCGTTACAAATGGTATCAGAGCCAGGCACCGGGCGGTGTGCCAATGAGGACACTGGCCCCCAAGGGGGTGGATTGTGAGATCGCACATTGGTTGGAGAGGGGAACGAAGCGTTCCTCATGAGAGTATGAAAACCTTTCCCTAACAGACACATTTTAAAACCTTAAGGGAAAGTCCAAAAGCGGACAATATCTGCTAGCGGTTTGGGCTGTTACATGCAATACATGCAATAAGACAAGAATGATATGGAAGTGGGGGAGAAGTTGCATTGCCAAGGAGTAACCTTCAGGTTTAAAAAGATTACGTAACATGGTATACCTCATGCTTGGATTTGTGGATGTCTGAAAATTTTGATCGAAAGATTCAAAATCTTTCTAATGTTTGTATGTGCTATGGAGCTTTCTTATTATTCTCTGAAACCTGTTCCTATCCCGGTTTTACATTCTTTTTCTATATTAATGATTCAGCTACGGTATCGCTGCCATTGCACCCTTCTCACACCGTCTCGCTTTTGAGAACTTGCCTGATGAGATACAAAGGTTGCGTTGTAAGGTCAACTTTCAAGCATTAACTTTTGTTCCTCATATCCGAGCACTAGGAGATGCTCTCATCAGCCGGCTGCGGTATCCTTCGAATAGGAAGGATTCAAAGGAGGCCAACTACCTAAGTTTGACCACTGATGCAAATGTACAAGGTCCAATGAAGTTTGTTGTCCTACACCTTCGATTCGACAAGGTACAGCCACCCTTCCTTTCTAGGTGCCAGATTTAAGTGAAGTTCGCTTTGTGCTTCTTAACAATTCAAGTTGTCCAGTGTTACTATCTTTTGGACATTGCCTTTCTACGTTATCTTGCTGATATTATAGATCATTAATTATAGTAGTCCCTTGCATTCCAACAATAGAAGGCCTCATTGCTCAAATTTTATTTCGTTAATTATTGGGACTGACATTTTTGTTCATGAGCTACCACCATACTCTGCTCAAAGTAAGCAACTGGTCAAATTAAGAAGTCCTCATTACAACTTCAGCGTATTTTAGGTCTTTACTTAACTGTTCATACTAAGTTCTAAGAACAGGAATACTGGCCCATACGACCGGCCATTATGAAATCAAATTGAATGACTGAGAATTTGGATTGGTTGATCATATATTCTTCATTTTTTTTTTTTTTTTTTCACAAATGTCGTATGACGTTTTGCCGCTGCTGATTTCTTTATGTTCAACATGAAGGACATGGCAGCTCATTCAGCCTGCGATTTTGGTGGGGGAAAAGCTGAAAAACTTGCTTTGGCCAAATATCGTCAAGTGCTCTGGCAGGGAAGGGTCCTTAACTCTCAGTTCACAGATGAAGAGCTGCGGAGTCAGGGGCGTTGCCCTTTGACACCTGAAGAGATCGGTTTGCTGCTAGCTGCTTTGGGTTTTGACAACAATACCCGTCTTTATTTGGCCTCCCACAAGGTAGTTCCTTCTCTATATACGAATAAACCAACCAAGCTTGCTTGAAGTCGTCTGGGGTTTGAAAGTGAAACTATTACCATTACTTGGAAGTTGGAACCCTAAAGTGCATGGTTCTTTCAGGTATATGGTGGGGTGGCTAGGATTTCAACTTTGCGGAGTCTTTTCCCATTAATGGAAGACAAGAAGAGTCTCACTTCTGGAAATGAACTTGCCCAAATCAAAGGAAAGGCTTCTTTGCTAGCTGCGGTTGATTACTACGTAAGCATGCACAGTGACATTTTTATCTCGGCTTCTCCTGGAAATATGCATAATGCAATAGTAAGTAAACTTCTTGCTGATTCTTAGTCTGTCAAATCTTGCTAAGCAAACCTGTGTTTTTTGTACCAACACTTCCTGCAAGTGATTTATTTATTAAGCAGATGATCATTCTTGTACTCTTTCTTGATATATTTTACAGGTGGGACATCGCACTTACGAGAACTTGAAGACCATAAGACCAAACATGGCATTGTTGGGACAGCTTTTCATGAATAAAAGCATCATTTGGTCAGATTTTCAGCAGGCCACTGTAGAAGGCCACTTAAACAGACAAGGACAAATAAGGTTGAGAAAGCCAAAGCAGTCAATATACACATATCCTGCTCCTGATTGTGTTTGCCACGCTTGAAATGGTGTTCTTATTGGGTACCACTTTCTGTCACTAAAACAGACCACTCTTAATGATTCTGCAACTATTGTTCGTCGGTAGTAATCTGTTGAATAAAGAAAAATTAGATTTTCCGATCAGTCGGCCTGCATCATTTGATGTTCCGAAAATCCAGTGCGAGGAAGAATTTTCATAGTTTGTAAAGATATGGAGGTCTACTGGGAAGGCTTATGTCTTCTGGGGCAGATTCAGATTAATGCAGTATGTAGTGTGCTAATGTCTTCGGATTATTGACAGATCATCTTATTAATGTAAAGAATTGTTTGTAAAAATACATCACTTTTTGGTGCTGTTTTTTGTTTGATTAATCTCAAAAGGCTGGAAAAGAGTTCTTGAACTTTTCTGCAAAATGGGGAAGAGAGACACAAAAGAACAACGAATCAATGGTCCACTAATAAGCAAATAATGGAACATCCAAGATGAGTATTACAATGGAAGGGAAATTTCAAATAAATATGAACATTGGCTCTGAAGTAAATGAAGTTGAGCCTGTTCTAATCAGTTCGTCGTCCAAAACGAGACGAATCTCAAACTACGTTAAAAAAAGAAAAGAAAAGGGTTGGTACTAATACAGATGAATTGTACAGAACAAAAGAATTTTGAAAAAAAAAAAGGGTTTATACTGTGTGACTCACGGAGTTGTGGCAACTGGTTGCAGGCTTCAGCTAACTGTTGAGCTCTCTAAAGGGCGATCTTGTATCAGACGAGACTTCAAATCTTTTCATTGAAGGAGAATTCACATTCTCTTTCAGCTCAGCCCTTTGACATTCATTGCCAAAAGAGAGCATTACCTTCTCCAGAAGGCCCATCAATTCTCTGTCTGAATTAGAAAACTCGCTGATATGATTGCCTATGCCTCCGATAATACCCATCAAGTCTTCCTTTTCTGAAGACAACTTCATCACATCGTCTACCAAATTACTCTTCTCACTCTTGAGCTCATCGATCACGACATCTGAATATTTTAGCTTTGTCTTCAATTGATCCGTCAGTCTCTTCATTTCAGACTCTTTTTCTTCCAAACTTGCTTCAATCTTCATTGCCTTCTCTTCTGCATGACCCAATGATACTTCCTTAAGCTCCAGCTTCTGCTGTATTAGGCGAATATTATCCTCAAGTTCTGAAATCATCAGTTTCTTCTCTTCAGTTTCTAGAATAGCCAAAAACTCGGCAGCATTAATCTTCTCCCAAGCCTGATGGACGAAATTAATTTCTGCTTGCTTCTCTTCAAGCTCTGATGAAAAAGACATTAAAGTGCTGTTAAATTTTTGTTCCAGTGAATGTATTAGCTGCATGAGTTGTTCGATTCTTTTGTTTTTCTTTTCTACCATCTGAATGAGTTTCTCCTTCTCGCGCTCAAACATGCTCTCGGCACCAATATGTGATAGCAAAACTACTTCAAGTTCTCGTCTCAGTGAATCTTGCTCCAGACACTCAACTTCGTTTTGGAGTTGTTCTAACTTCTCATCCTTCCCTCTTATAGTTTGAAGAAAGCTATCTCTCATCGTCTGAAAGGAAGTTTCAGACTCCAATTCTATTATTTCAAGCCCTTGCTCCAGTAGCGTAACCTGTTGCTCCAGACTTTCAATCCTCTTGTCTTTCTCATTTAACTTCTCCATAAGGCTATCTTTCTCTTGCTTAGTGTTATCCCCAATATGGGCTTCTGCAAGCAGTGAGGCTTCCAACTCTCTACGTATGCTATTGTTTTCATCGAGGTCAAGTTGTAACTGTTCAGCAATAGTTTTCCACATATGCATTTCAAAATCCATTTGATTTCCTTCACAGATTTTATCTTCCAGTTCAGCATCTGCTTCTTCCAAGGCATAACATGCTTCTTGAAGTCTCTCCATTGCATCATATTCTATTTGTGTCACTTGTTCTTCCAATAGAAGATAATCCCTGGATGATTCTTCAATTATTTCCATAGACTGATCAAGCTCTCTCAGCTTTAATTTGTACTGCTCTTCAATCATCTCCATTGACTGAACTCGAATATGGGTAGGTTCTTTTTCAGCAAGTTCAGCATTCGTCTCGCCCAAATCATTGCAGACTTCAAGTTCTTCTGCTGCATCATGTTTCATATGCAAACATTTCTCCTCTAACTGAAGCTGATACTTGGTTGATTCCTCGAGCATTTCTTTGTAAACTTCAAGTTTTTCTGCTGCATCATGTTTCATTTGCAAACATTGCTCCTCTAAGTAAAGCTGACACTTGGTTGATTCCTCAAGCATTTCCTTGTAGCTATCTATTTCTTTCTGCATTAGTTGAAGCTGCTCCTCATACAGATCCACGGATTCCACTTTTTTACGCAAAGACGCCACCTTTTTATACTCTGCTTCAATATCTTTGTGGGCCTTTGCCAAAGCCGCATTCTGCACCTCCACCTGTTTCATCAATAAAGATATTTTCTCCTCTCTATCTTTGTCATGCATATAAACTTCAGCCATTTCTTTTGCCAGCTTAACTTGAGCCTCCGATATTCCCTGATTTAATACTAGTAACATGGCAGATAACTCCTCATTTTGTAACTTCAACTGCAATGCTGAAGAATGATGACTTTCCAACATTGCCTCAAGATCCTTCATTTTCGCTTCTCTTCTGCATAGCTCAGATTTGCAATCATTCAAGTTAATTAAAACTTCTTCCACTTGGGATGCCCATTCAACTTCTTTAGCCCTTAGATTTGCAGTGCATTCGCTATGGGCAGTTTCCAAGCTTTGCATCTTCTTTTGCAGTTCTCTGAAAGAAGGTGAACCCCCTGCAGCTTGAATTTGTTCCTCCTGGAGTTCTTTGATGGCTGTTCGCAACCCCTGATTTTCTTCCTCCAGCTTTCGTGTTTGGTATTCTCGTTCCTTCATAAATGAATCTTTTGTTCCCAACGAACTTCTTAAAGTAGCAATTTCTTTATCCCTCTGAGCAGTCATTTCATCCAACTGCATTTTTACATGTTCACACTCATCAAGAACATTACCAAAGCGTGTCTCAAAATCAGTAACTTGAATCTGTAAATACTTTCGTCGACTCTCTTCATGGGCGAGGGCTTGGTTGCAAAGTTCTAACTTGTTATTAAGATCCTTTGAGATTAGCATCTGAGAATCCAACCTTGTCTGCAGTGAAGAGGCCCCATCAAGCAGGGTCCCTTTCTCCAGCTCCCACTTTTTTTTGTTCCCCTTCAATTGTTTTCGGACCTTCTCAAGTGCCTCTTCCAGATGCTTAAATTGCTCTGTTTTCCATTTCAACTGATCTTTAAGCTTTGTAATTTTATTATTTAAATCAATTAGTATATCGTCTCTTTCGCCCTGCTCCATGTGTGCCAGTCCCTCTTCAGCTTCTGTATACTTTCTTTGCCAAAACGATAGATTCTCTTTGAGGCCATGAATCTCTTCTCTGAATTCAAACATCTTCTGCTCTTGATGCATGCATTTCTCATTCGAGTCATCCAAAGCCGATAGGAGACTCCTCTTTTCTTCTTCCAATTTTTCAAACTTTTCATTGGCATCAGCTCGAAGCTTATCATTGGCAGAACCAAGATGTTTTATTGCCGACTCTCTTTCAGCTAGACGTCGTTCAAGTTCCTCCAAACGTTTCTTCTCCATAGATAATTCTTCAGCCTTTTCATTTATCTCTTCAGCTTGCTTCTCAATTTTCAAATTCGCCTCCTGCAACTTAGCGAACTGCTCGCTGTTAATTCTTTTCAAGTTCTCAGATAAGTCTTCCTTCATCTTGCAATCTGCCCTAAGCTTCTCAATATCAGCTTTTGCTTCATCTAGTTCTTCAAGAATTCCATCCATATTCCTCAATTCTAAATCTGAAATTTGTGACAGATGAAGAATAGAAAAGCGTAAAATAGTTAAAAAAGTCTATCAATAAAAAATCAAAACAAATATACCAAGTAATAAAATCTCAGACAGAGCATTCGCATTCACGGGAAACATTGCAATTCCTTGAGGAACTTCAGAGATTATTACAATTATCCGAGGGAATCCCGAAAAGAAAAGGCTAGTGGCCTGTGGATGTTATTCTGCATCTTCTTGGACTAATTAATTACCAGATTCGGATAAAGCGAAAAGAAAAAGAAAAAATTCCGATTGTTGCTTTGATGTTTTCTTACACATTCAGTTTTGTTCATGTTGTTATTATTTTATTAATTTTTCCATGATCATTTTCTCCGTATCCAAGCGAGAGCGGCATTCCAAAAAGAACAAAGAAAATTCTGATACCAATACCTGTAGATCAAAAGTTTTAACAGGCAATGTCAATTGAAAAGATATCTCTGCGGTTCTAAAATATCAAGACCCAACGTAATTTTGGGAAAATGGAAAGACCTACATATATGACAAGGCTAAACTCAACCTAGATCTGTTCTAAGCGGAATGACATTCAAATCGTTATTACTTAACAACTCCGTTGAAATTAATGAATTGCAAACGCAAACATTGATAGCTTAATCCGAAAATATCAGACTGGAAATCCTGTTCCTCATGACCAATGACCAGACAACGCAACAACCTCAAACCCAAATGAATTAAGATCAAATTTATTAACGCTAAATTTTACTCAGATTGTAAATTACAAAAGAATGCTTCAAAATCTTCATTGTTCCCGGTAGAACAGAAAATGATTCAAAAGGAAAATCAACCCCAATCTACTTTTAACAATGACGAACCCCTAAAGATCTGGTAACCGAAGAACATCAGATGAAAACATATAAATCAATAATTTCAAAAGCCATTTTCATGTTTAACTGCACAAAAATCGAAGAAACTAAAAACCGCAATAGTCCAATATTTCCATAAACGCTTAACATTTCAAATTCTCAGAAGCCAAGCAAAAAACGAAGCAGACCGTACCAGGCATCAAAATAAAATATCTGGCGCTTGATTTAGATTCAGCACAAGAACCGTTGGAATTTCAGGTTATTGTGAAAGAACAGGAAGAAGTAGGTCAGAAACGATGAAAAGAAGAGAGAGAAATAAGAAAGGGAGGAAGTGGTTTCTCCAAGTAGCCGTTAAAAGGACCTTTCCGGATTTAAAATAAAATGTGTTAGCGGAGATGGACGGCGAAGTCCCGATCCATATTGAAGCGAACGAAACGCTGTCGTTATGGACCAAATGGGACTAACCGTTACAAGGGTGTTCCATTGGGCCGAAAAAACTGCCCATTAGTTCAGCCCAATTCTAATTGTTGCGATTTGGCAATCCAACTTTTGGGCCTACGGCCCATTATATAATATTACATCCACTTTCCGTTGCTTCGATTTCTAAATTCCATTATGATTTTAATTTGGTAAAACTCTCTAAGAAAATACTAAGAAATAGTAAAAAAAAATAAAAAATAAAAAATAAAAAATAAAAAAGAGATTTAAATTCAAGGGTATATTTGGCACTTTCAAACATTCCAAACTAATTCAGGGTTTACTATTTTCATTGTTTCCAAATCCTAAATTTCCCAATTTAATATTAAAAGCCTTGCTAATATACGTCACCTATTTTTATATATCTCCATAATAGCCCATGTATATTCTTGGAAGTCCTTTCTTAACAAATTTTTGTATATAAGTCAGTGTTATAATGAATAATCCACTTTTTAACAAATCTAAAACAATTTCCTACCAAACATATTATATAGTTTTTAATTTGATATACTTAACACAAAATTAAGTCATTGGGACGGAGTTGGAGTCGAGGATGCTTCCTCCCCATTTTCAATTTAAACGGGATTCTCTATTGATAAGGTCTAATATTTTATTATTTCTTAAGAAAAAAATCAAAAAGAATCTTAATGGAATGATTAAGCATGAGAATGTTGAAATGGATTATATTTTCCATCACTCGTTATTGACATTATTAGCTCCCATGGCAATGAAAGAAACAATAATAGCAAATATCAAACTGGCTTCCAATTTGATTGCTTGGGGGAAAAGAGTGTATTAAAGTTACCTAAAAGAATCAAATGTTATGATAAAAGGCAATTCTCATTTGAAAGAAACCAAATCAAAAATTAACCCATCATGGGATCTTGTAGCATGGAAGTGAACCCAAACTGGAGCGGTTGAGAAGTACCGTTGTTTGAGTAACATTTTATGAGTTCTTTCGTACTAACCTCTACTCAGTTTTATTCAAGTTATGTCTTGGTCTAGGTTCAGATCTATAAGTAGTGACAAATTCTCCATACAAATTCGCTATTACTTATGAATGCCCAACTCAATTATTACCGCAAATACATCTACCATTTTTTAAAATCAGTCTTTTAGTTCAAAATCGTGGTGGAACTAACGCGTATCCTCTCTTGCTTCACTTATAAGCTTCCATGATTAGATGAAGATAAAAGAAAGGAAAAGCTTTGACAAAATATGTTAGTGGATTAATGTATATAATTATGATCCTAATTTGTGGAAACAACTTTTGGACTTCTTGTTGATATAACTCTTTCTTTTCGAAAATAAAAACACTATCTCTATTGGAGAGTTCAGCATACAATTATGAACGTTGATTTTTCTTTCATCACCCGTCAATTCTTTGAAAATAAAGAATTCCAAAAATATTTGGAACGGTTTAAAATAATTATTAACCATCGTAAAATGTTGTACATAAAATTTAAAAGATTTAAAACATGGTTCATAATATATTTAAACAATTTGTTTTAGACGTATTATTAAAAAGATAAAAAAGGTAGAAATTGGAAAGATAACGTGACTAAAGATTCACCGTACACGTTGCAGTAATTCAAACATCCGTTGCAAAGAGTGCGTTTTTTTTTTTTTTTTGTTAACCCCACGTCATGATATTTGGACGATTCTGCTGTAATAATGTATTTCCATGATAAGTCAAATTAAATGCCTAATTCCCATTTTAATATTAAAAGAATTATAATTAATTAAATTAACAAATAGTGATTGATTGAGGTAGAAGCGGAGTGGAGCAATATAATGACCAAGGAATAAAAGATAACTATGTTCGATAAAATATAAGAGACTTTGTAAAATTTCAATGTAAATTGGGCATTTAGTTGTGGGTGGAAATGCTATAATCTGAGGGGAAACAATCTGCTTCTTCGATTTCTCCGCCCTGAGAGATTTCAGAAATCCCAAATTCTTGTTTCGAGGTATGAAGTCGGTGTTCAGCGGATTTTCCCCATTTTGTTTTTGAGTGGCGATCTAGCGAATGACGGACGATCTTGGTTTTCTTATCCGGTTAATCTTTCGAACTCGATTTATTTTTTTGTTGTCGCTGTGGCTCGCATTTTTAGAGCAACAACTGATATATTCGTAGAGGAGTGGGATAAGATTCTTGATTGTGTCTGGGCCTGAAAGTGACTTCTGAGCTTTTGCAAATAGCTTGAGTGAACTCTGTTTGGATGCTTTCTGGGTTCTGAGTAATTGGAGAAGAAATTTTGGAGAACTTTCATATTGATCGTTTGAGATCTAGATAGGAGTTTTCGTAGTTTTTTCTTTTTATTTATTTATTTTTTTCATTTTCCATATGGAGGTTACTGATCAAACAGGCCCCATCAGCCACTCCTTTCCATTTTGAGATTCTACCTGTAAATTCTATGGGGAAAACCTTTTAGTTTCCTTATTAAATTTTCCCCCAAAACTCTTTCACTCGTCTGGAGAAGAACCGATGGCCGTGTCTTTCAGCCGTTTTTCATTGTGGTTTTGGAAGGGGAAGGAGAAAGAGTCTGTCGCAAATGGGGCGCCTTCAAATTCTTCCACCGAGGTTGGTACTGGTCTGAGAGAACCGGAGAGTCTCAAGTTGAAGAGGGTGGACTTGGGTTCATTTTCAAAGAAGGTCAAGAACCAGAAATGGCGAAGTAAGAAAGAAACAACAAGGATTGACTGGGAATACGATTTTCTGATTGTACCATCTGGCGGTGATGACATGCAAATGCCTGACTCTGCTGATGAGGCCGATTGGTCTATTGGTTGGTTGGAGCCTCACGGTCCTGGCTTTCAGAGTGATGATAGTTTTGCCGTTCTGGTCCCTTCCTATAGCAATCGTTGCAAAGAGGTGGTGGAGGGTTCAAACGTCGAGCTTTTGGCTGCCATAAAAAACCTTCAACATGAATTCTCACCTGGTAAGGCCTTTCTGTTTGTGGTCTGCATTATACTGTTATTTGACCCAATGCCTTGTGTCTGCCATTAGTTTATGAATTTTTCTACATGATTCTAAAGCCGATTTTGGAAGCGTAGAACATTCTTTGTGATCTTTATATGATTACTGTTGCAGCTGGGATATAAAGTATTGAATGGTTGTTAAGAGACACCATTCCTAAAATTTGGGAACACATTGATTGGGCATGTTTTGGAGCTGTTTTCAGTAATGTTGTTTGTTTTGTGTTTCAAGACAAAACTGACTTGTAAAGGTTAAGGTTGTGATTTCAAATGAACAACAACTTTAATTGGTTTAAAAGAGGCTACATGGTAGAACAGATACAAGAACAAATGAGTTAGAAACAACTTTTAATAACAGTCACATGCACTTGTTTTTCTTGAATCCTTGTATAAAAAAACAGCATGCTTCTCAAAAGAGTTACCAAACAATTCATAGATGTTACCAATTGTTGTGTTTTCTCCATAGTCCTGTGCATGCTGGAATCAAGAGGCGGTGGATGAATAGCCGCAAGCCTGCAATAAGTCATTGAATCTTTTCTCTGTAGGAAAAAAAACAAGTTTTTTTTTGTTATATATTGTAGTGGACTGGGCTCTATCTCATCTCTTGTGTGCATATCAGAAGTTACTGTTCCAAATTTCATGATTTGAAGGAAGCAACATCAGACAACATTTTGGACCAGCATCAGATTTTAGATTAAAATGAAAAATCATGGACCCAAGGAAACATGTGGTGGTGGCAGCTGGTCCACGTAGGGCGATAGATTTACACCCAAATTTCTCCTCTTTGATGTGCTGTTTGGTAACATTTTTTTCTTCTTCAGGAAGTTTCTATTGAAGTAGTAGTTTATGTTCTGTTAATCGTCTGTTCATATGTTATGGAATGAACTCGACATTCGTTTCTGGGTGCGTGTGTTTCTGAACCACGCTTTGTCTGGACTTTGTTTTAATGATCCAAGGAATGAGGTTTTAAAGTTGCAGAAAAATGAGTGGCGTTACAATTCCTTGCAACTATAGAGTCAGGAGTCCTCAGATGTAATAGCTTGATGATGACCAGTATGTTCCCAAGCTGATAAAGCTGAATCCTTTATCATCAAAATCCTTTTTCTTATTTCAAACTCCTAAATTAAGTAATAATGAAAGGGAAAGGGCAAAAGAGAGAAGCTTTTTTAAAATGTTTTTGGAGCTGACGAATACCTTCAACATCAAAGTTTGAATGCATCTCATCTTTTGCAGAGAGCAAGAAGTATATGGAACTGTGGCTTTCTTCTTCCCTGCAAATCTCGGAAACTTGACGTGCTTTTGGCGACGATGATGAAGGGCAGGTTCTCTGATTACCGCAAAGTTCATCGTCATCTTGAGCCGAAGTTTACAAATTAGACCAACTCAAGTCTTGTTTTGTGCATATCATGTAAACTTGGTAAGATATTTCGTTCCTATTTTGCATACATAATTTGATTGACAATCTGGAAATGGATGGAATGGAGATTTTCTTTCTTTTCTTCTTCCCTTTTTGTATACATTATAAGATAAACAATCCACATTCCAACTTCTACCATTTCATTTTTTCGTATTTCCTATAAATATTTATAAATGCAACATTATCCTTTTGTAACTCTCTGATTTATTTCTTAGTGGCTTGTTCATCATCACCTTCCAGCTCCTTATACTTTATAATTCAAATACAAAATAAAAAATTTGCATCTCCGATTGAAAATTAGAGAAACTCACGGCTTTGATCTGATTGTTTTTCACCTCATCAACGAAAACGCTCGAGCCGTCTATTTCCGAACAACCTAGAAATCCATCGATGCAATCCTTTCATCTCAGCGTTACATTCGCCTCATTTTCAAGGCATTGCAAGTCTGCAAACACGTGAGGGAGGTTTTCAAAATTGACTGTGAATTTCGATTGGAAAAAGATTCAATCACGGAGATTACTCGTTCTGGAAATGCTACCTGGAACTAATTTGGATTCGTCTGTTCCAGTAATGCAATGAGGAGGAGTGAAGATTCTGGCGAGTCTCGCCGACTCTTCCACCAGTTGAGAAATTTGTTTGTCTTGCTGTTTCGGACTCACAATCCAGTCAAATTAACGGAAGCACCAAACCTGACAGAGATCTTCTCCGTGATTAATCGAAATTTCGAGCTGGAATTACCTATATCTCAAGAGGTAATTTCTAGAGTAAGATGTGAATGAGAAGAACAAAAAGGAGCGAATGGAATTACCAAATTTCTAGCTCCGATGGACGACATTGATAAGGACGAGGCCGGTTTGACGTCACCGGACAAAACGAAAGGCTCTCGACTCACCGGAAGACGAGAGTCGGGGAGGGAGAGGACATTGGTGACGTTGAGACGACGCCTAATTGGGAGCTGTTTTTGTTTTGTTTGTTTTTTTTTCGATTCACTCAATAGATAATTTTCTTACAAAAACAAAATACGTCATTGTCTCTATCAATATCCAATCTTATTATTCTATTTAGGCAATCTTATTATTATATTTACTTTTGTAAGAAAGTAAGATTTCCAGACCTCAAAAGGCATCATATTCATCCAAAAACCGGTCCATCGCTGCAAGGCAACCACCCACCGATTGTTGAGTTTCAGTCTCCGCCATGTGTAACGGCCACCACCGATCTTTGTTCAGAGGTAGCATTTCTCCTAACCAGACCTCCGTACCGGAAAACGGCGACGCTTCCGTTGTGGACAATCTACGGGGTCGATTAGCGGAAACAGAGTCGCGGCTGGCTCAAGTTAGGGCTCGAGAGGCGGCGCTCAGCCGAATCTTGGAGGAAATGAAACGATTAGTTTCTGTGATGGAGATCCTCAAGAACTACCTGAAACGGCGGTACAGAGACCGCCAAGAATATGTGGTTCGTCTCCTCGCCCCTCTATCTAGAAAATAGAAATTCCTCTTCTTCATCGCTGTCTGTAATATTAGCGGTACCAATCAAAAACTCGTTTTGGTTACATGCTTCTTCGTTCTTCTTATTCACAAGTCTTGTTGACTATATTCTCCACCAAATCTACGGATTTATTTATTCGCTCTTGATTTCACTTGTGAATGGAATCGTGGAATTGATCCCATTAACTCATTGAATCGAAGGAAACTTTGAGAGAAGAGCGTTTTGTTGTTTCTTGATGCAATTAGTGGCAATTTTCTGTAGTCTAATCAGGCATATTGTAATTACTTCTGAGACTAACATTGGCTTCAAAGGAGATATGTATGGAGGATTGAATTTGTATGGGTACACGTTCTTGTTCTTCCAAAATAGAATTAGGGCTGATGGGTATGATAAATATTGAATGTAAGTGGTTTGAATTAACGAAACAAGGGAAGAGGTTGTAAGAATCGAGAAATTCGATAACTTCCCATAATATGCCTAACATTTCCCACCTCCAGAGTCCACACCATCTGCTTTCCTCTTCATCTCATCCATCGCTTCCATGCCTGTCCCCAGGATGTCCTACTCAATACCCCACCAGCTCCATCCAATTGTGACTTCGACCGCAAGATGAGGTGGCCATGAGAAATGGGCCGAGGTTGGGCCCGATGAATGAGGCCCAGGCCCGAGCATATACCTGAAGTTGTATTTTAAAATTGTTCTCAAAATGAACATTTAAATTATTTACAATCAATAATTTTAAAAAAATATAAATTCTGTATGGGTAGATTAATGAGTTATAATAAATAGATAAATATTTCATAAAATTTTAGACTAATACAATTAAGATTGATTATACTAGTAATAACTGATTATCCATAGGCCCATTTGGAGCCGAATACAAAATGGGACTTAATTCAGTCGGCCCAATGCCTCGCGAGCCGGGGCTGATTCAGGATCTACAGTTAAGGCCTTCTCAAAAGCCTGTCTGGCCTCATCTTTCATTTTCTTCCATTCGTAACATTGGCCCAACAAACAGAAGGCCTTCGTGTCATCTCCGCCCAAACTCACCGCCTGTAGCAAGTCTTCCACCGCCGAGTCGAGTCGTCGTTTCCGATTGACGGCGATTTTCAATTCGGCTCTCTTGACCAACGCCTTAGCGACCTCTTTTTCGGATAATGACTTCAAGCACGGTGGCGAAAGTGCGATGTCGAGAGATTTAAGTGCGGAGCTGTGGTGACCCATGTGATTTAAGGCTAGGGCTTTCAAGATGTGCGATGCCGGATCTCTAGGCGAAAGCGAGAGCGCCGTTTCGGCCTCGTTTACTGCCTTCTTCGCGTAGTCCATCGATTGAGATTGTTGAGAAATAGATCGTGCTCGAGCGAGTAGATGAGTTCCCTCGAGGAAGTGGCGGCTGGATTGGAGGATCGCTCTGTTCTTCAGGCGGACCTTGCCGAAAGCTCGCTTGGAAAGTTCTCGTACGGCTAACATCGTCGCTGCTGTGAGAATGAACAGGGCTACTTGTATCACGGCTTCCGGCGACATCATCTCTTCGGAGGCCTGAATCTGTGATTACCCGAGCTGAATCTGAAATCTGTAGGGATTTCGAACCCTGGAGAATTAAAAGTTCTTCTACAGAATAGAAAAATCCCTAAAAAGTCAATTTCCCAATAGCATTGCCCAAATAGTCCACGAGTCTAAGCATAGTTTATAAAGCAATAATCTAATAATGTATATATTATTTTAGCATATACGCGTTCTTTAAAGATTTTGTGCGGCCGTGACGCCGGGCTCGGACGGCTTCTACTTTTGCGTGACGTCCGTTTCTCTTTGTATGGCTCTTCTCGGCGATTTCAGCAAGACACAATGGGAATAATTTTTAAAGTTGACAGAAAATAGGCGAATAGAAGCTAAATTTGCTAAGAAAAATTAATTAATCATAAACTAATAGTAGAAACTAATTTTAACATTCCTTAAGATATAGTAATATGGAGACTATAGTTAGACATTTGAAAGTAATGGGCTAAAATAGAAAGAGTGTAAAGGAACCACAATTATTTAAACTGGGTGTACAAGAGAGGGAAAAGGAGGGTAAACTCTTACTCTTGGCTTGGAACTACCAAGGTTTAAAACTAAAAACCCATATAGCCTATTTGAGAATCAATGCATGTAGACCAATATAGTCCAAGAAGCAATGGCTGCTGAGAAACTTTTAGATCTAGAAAACAGCGCGAAATCAAGTTAATGGCCTTGAACGAACTTCTTCTCCAAGAGAAAAATGGTTAGTAATTTGTTGATAGGGGGAAAACTGGGAATTTGGCTATCCTAGGTACTAGTGTTCGTATTTCTTGGATGTAGGCAGTGTCAATGATGCTCCTTGGTCTTGAGATTCATCTGCTGAAACTATTGGCCCTTGTGAATACATTCTCTCAGATAAAGCAGGCGTGGGAATACATAACCATTCCGATTTTGGTGGCATGCCTGCATTTCTATAACCTAATGGAGGTATATACATTCGTTCTGAAGTGGATGTTAAAGAAGAAGCTGAAGCCATATTACCGTCCCTCTCAGACAAGCTAGACAAGTACATTCTATCTGATTGCAAAGCAGCGTCGGTTTGAGAGTCCAAGCTGATGTGATCTTTTCCATTAGAAGAAGAAAATAAGGGCGTATCAGTTCTCCGCAATGTTTGACTCATACTGTCGTTCAGATGGGAAGTTGCCAGCATGTATACTCTTTCTGATGATTGGCACATGCTGTCGATTCTTCGAGATGGAACTGTACTATCACTTCCATGGGTAATCAGACAATTACTGTCATGAGATGTAGGCACGTAGAACCCCTCTGCTGCTAAAACCAAAGCAGGAGGAGTAGTTCGAGATGCCTGCCCTTTGATCCTCTCAGAACTGGATGGAATGGAATCGGCCCTCAGGGATTCGCTCCAATGACATTTCTGAGATATGTGCATTCTCTCAGATGATCGGGATGTTGACACTGACATAGCTTGGCCAGGCAATTCTCTATCCCCTGTTAAAAGCATAGCAGGAGACAAATCTTGGTTGGATATGTCCCCCTCTGATGACAAGGTAGAAATCAGGGACAGTCCCTGACCGTGCAAGTCCCTATCAGGAGACGGCGGAGAGGAGGTGGCTCTTTCATTGGCTAAATCTGTCTGAGATAGTCGAGGGTCTGGCAGCAATACAGCATCGCTAGGTGAATCCCTCTCAGATGTGGAAGACAACGGGGGTAAACTTCGGTGCCGCCCACCAGGTGAATCTTTCTCAGATGTTGAAACTAACGTGGAAGGTACAGTACGGGGTCTCAAATGGCTCTCAGATGGTGAAGACGCCGTCATTGAGACTCCAATGCCTGCTGAGTTCTTCCACTGTTGAGCCACTCTTTTCAATTTGGTGTAAAATTCCAGGCCTGCCTTATCTTCAAATTAAAATTAAGACAGTGAGAGGAGAAAGTGATGGACAAAAGAAATGAAGGATAATATTGCAAGGCAGAAAGGAGGAATCAAAGAGATGGAAAATTTGAACTGAAAAAGAAAACTTGATCAACAGCAGAAGATGGCTTCAAACCATTAAAGGAAGATGGCAATGGAACTGTAACAGCAACATTGATACCAACCTGAAATGGATTTAGAAGGGAAAACAAATATGAAATTATATTTAGGAGAAAGAAACCGACATTAACATTATAAAATATGCTAGGTATATGGTTATGATGTGAAAAACTAGTTCAGCTGTAAACCAGCTTAGAGCTTCCATGAAAATGCTCGAAGTCCAAAGGTTTCACTCAACACGCTATAATTAACATGTCGGAGCAAAACATAAATAATTCAAGCGATCTACATGGGCGTCCATCAACCGAAATCTAAATGGATAGAAATTTGTATCACCAATAAATGATCACTAACCATTCCCACTTCCACTTCACTCTGAAATTTCCTCGCATAAATGCCAGAAGTTGTGAATATGGAAGCTCCATTTCGGTTCCTGAAGAAAATTGAGTAGTTTAAACGTATATCCGGGAAGCCATGACAAAGGAGGAATTTTGCACGTGCAACACCTTATCATCAAAAAAGAGTCAACAAAAAAGGGCCTACAAATTTACTTCTTCAAGGAAAGCAGCTTCAAGAAGCTACAACCAACATCAAGATTCAAACGAAAGTACTACAAATTTAAAATAGAAAAAGTTAAAATTCAATGGCGATTAAGGAATACCAGAGGTAAAATGGGTTATGGAATGCAGCACCTCAATGACTATAAAATGGTTAAGTATGCCATCTAAATACCACCTCAGTTTAGTAGAGTTAAAAGAAGTACTTGTTTCTGTTTACAATGGATATAGCCTCCTCTAGGTTGTCAGCCTGCCGGTAAAACCAAAAGAAAACAATAAGCAGCCTGATGAAGACAACGTGTAATTTTACCAATGGGATGAAAAACTGGGTAGTACCTGCATACAAAGGAGAACTGGTCCAAGAAATTCTTCCTGACGACACAAAATATTGCTGTTAAAATTAATGTACCAGAATGCTGTCAAAATAATGAAAACATATTAACTTCAAGCCTCTTATGCTAAGAGATTTAGATATCAATTACATCCCTTTAGAATACTTCCAACAGAAAGAGAAAAGAATACCTTGTAGCACTCCATGTCCGTTGTTACATCAGATAAAATGGTTGGACCAACAAAATTTCCATTTTCATATCCTGGGACCTACAAAGTATTGCAAAAATCTTATCAACACCAGGAAGTTCTAAAATTCGTCAAATGTAAGGTAGTAGAATTTATTTAACAAACTCATAATAATAACAAGTTTGTACCACAATATCTCTACCGTCAAGCAGAAGTCTAGCACCATCTTCAATGCCACTTTGAACTAATCTACAAAAACGATCTTTCACCTGTGGATTTTTTTTCCAAGGATAATTAATTTAATAGTTGAAACGATAGTGCATCTACATAAAGACATGATGTCCCACCACCAGAAGTACAGACAGTTGAATACGATGGACTACCAGCATCAATGGCAAAGTTTCAGATCCAAATAAAAGTTAGAATTTAGTCTTTGCCGAAATTATCAAAGAAATAGAGACGCAAAAAAAAAAAAAAAAAAAAAAAAAAAAAAAAAAAAAAAAAAAAAAAAAAAAAAAAAAATCTCCTACATGTGCAAACCATAGGTACCGTAACCAAAGGAAAACTAAGAGGTTTTTCTGAACACATACCTCTTTGGTAATTACAGGACCAAGGTCAGCATTGGGATCTGTCCCCACATTCACTTTAAGTGCTTTGGCACATTCCACAAGTTTTTTTTCCCTGGAAAATCATCGTAGAATACCAATAACTAGAAAGCTCATATGCTAATAGATTTAAAGACTAAGGACCGTAACTGAAAAGAACATTCATAAGTTATCGAGGAACAATACTTGACAAGCTATTGGTCAACATGCCATCGGTAAGTAGAAGCAGACCGTCCAATTTTTATAATTTTCACAATACCAAAGTTACTGTTAATTTGTTGTTTTCTGAAGTTCAGTGAAAATCCAATTTACAAATAGAAAGAAGGAAGAAGTCCAAATGCAGTTGGGAATTAAAAAGCATATGCTGCATATTTGACACTTGTAGAAATGTTGTGAGGCACAACAGTTAACAAAAGTGGTTAAGCTTCATAATGCACATACTGTGGAGTAAACGGATCCCTGCACCAGCAAAACACTTAGGTGTCACGTGGCTGTCTAAGATAGCTTTTTATGACTACGGTAATGATTTTTGAAAGCTAATCTTCTTAAGACATACTCTCACTCATAGGAAACCAATCTGGCTAAGCTTGCAACCACAAATTCATACTCTGATTCTTATAAAATACATCTTTTCCCAAGGATCTTGAACTTGAAAATTAAGATTAAAAAAAGTCCGGAATAGTTCATAGCAAGAGATTAGGTAGATACCAGAACAAGAAGCTCAAGACCAAATCTCAACAAACTGGGTACTACAAGGATAGGCAAATAGAAAAGTGTCCATAAGACGATGAATTTTGAATTCTAATTGTCCAGAGATGATGAACTCAATCAAGAAGACAAATTCCAGAAGGAAAGAAAAGGAGGATAAAATAAGGATTGCGATGAACAAAAGAGTCATTATACCATAGAATTGAACTCCCAACGGAGACAACAATGTTGATAGCCATACATGTCTGTCCAGAAGTACCGAATCCAGCATCAACCAGAGCATTTAAAGTAGCCTCCATGTTAGCATCAGGCATAATAATTGCATGGCTCTTGCCTCCTAAGTGAGACTAAGCAATCAACATAAATATCAGCCAAATTATTCAATAACCCCCATTGTAAAACCTTTACCAAAAGAAACATATCAGTAGATGAACAAATAGGATTCACCTGAACTTGCTTTCCCGTAGCAGCGGCCCTAGCATATATGTTCTTTCCAGCCTTTAAATAAAATAAACAGTAAAGTAAAAAGAGAAGAAAATAAAAATTCAGAATAGTCGACCAAAACATACTAAACTTGCAAGAAAGTTTTCTTTTCAATCATTGACAAGAATGAAATATATGTGCGAAGTGTTTCAATCATAAAGAAAAGTAGTCATAAAATTTGAACATAAAGGAAATTACATGAGAAGTATTCATAAAACTAAAGAACAGCTAATTAAAGAAATTTATATGTGCTCTTACCAATACTTATTATGGCCCCGTCAAAT